AAAAACTTTAAAAGACCAGCAAATATAAATGAATTAAGATCGTTTTTGGGAATTGCAAATTACTGCAGAGGATTTATTCCGAATCTAGCTCAAATAGAATCACCACTACTTGAATTTTTAAAAGGAGAATCTCAAAAAAGTAAGAAGCAAATCTTATGGACAAAAAACGCTCAGAAAGCATTTGAAGAAATACAGAATTCAATATCAAATGAGACGTTGCGATCACAACCAGACTTTACTAGAGATTTTATATTGACTACTGATGCATCAGAATATGCTATAGGAGCGATTCTCAGTCAAATATATGATGACGGAAAAGAACGCATGGTATACGCGTTTAGCAAAACAATGGATGAAACACAAAGAAAATATTCAATAACAGATAAAGAGCTTTTAGCAATTGTAAAGGCTGTAGAGAAATTTCGCCGATACTTACTAGGTAGGGAATTTATTCTTAGGACAGATCATAAAGCCCTGACTTACATGAGAAAGTCAAAAAATCCAACGGGCAGACTTTTAAGATGGGGCCTCAGATTGCAAGAATACCAATATCGAATTGAATATGTCAAAGGTAAAAATAACGGAGCAGATATTTTAAGCAGAAATCTTAAAGATGATCGCACATTAAGGCAAGTTAAAAAAATAAACAGTACATTAGATATTTTGAGAGAATATCATTTAATATCGGGACACGGAAGCACAAAAACAATGTTATTTTTGCTGGAAGGTAAGCATGAATGGCAAAATATGGAAAGGGACGTGGAAAATTATGTTAAAGGTTGCCTTATTTGTGCTAAAAACAGCAGAAGAAGAGTAAATAGTAAAAATAGAATTGTAGAATCAAAACATTCTAATGACTTGTGGGAACTAGATATTATTGGTAGGATTCCTATGAAGAATGGACAAAATGGGTTTATATTTGTGGGATGTGATCACTATGATAAATGGACTGAAACTAGAATCCTTTTGGATAAGAGTGAAGACGCAATAGTAAATTGTATTGAAGATTTAATAATTAAAAAACATGGAATTCCCAAAAGAATATTTACTGATTGTGGTAAGGAATTCCAAAATAGTAAATGTAAAGAACTTGCAAAGAAGTACGGAATAAAGTGGAGCTTTGCCTCCCCAAGACATCATCAAGCGATTGGCGCCGTAGAACGTGTAAACCAAACATTATTGAACAAAGTAAAAAAACTTTCAAACTTTGGTAGAAGCCCCTGGGAAAACTTCGTAAGAAAGGCGACTTATGCCATTAATATTTCACCCCATAGAGCTTTAGGAACATCACCCTTTATTTTAAGACACAAAAGATATCCTATTATTCCTAGTGATCATAAGTATCAGCTGAAATCAAGAGAAATTTCTACAAGAGAATTAGAGGAAAAAATATCTAACCTAAGATCAAAATACGACAAAGAAATAGTGAAAGGCAAAAGAAATATTTGTTATGACTTAAATATGGGGGAAAAGGTTCTTGTTTTTAGGCCGAACCTAAGCGACAAACTAAAGGAACAATGGCATCCAGGCTATTACGTTGTAAGAAAGGAAGAGCCAGATGCCTATATCATAAGTGATGGGAGAAAGGATTTTCGTTTTAATAAAAA